TCTGTGATTCAGCCTTTTAAGCACCTTAAATGACGTATTGAGGAGACTGACAAGCATAGCTGTCATGACATATCTAGAAAGTAATAACTTGTTGTCCAACGCACGGTATTTTTGGGGGAGACTTTTCACGTCTTAACGTAGTGTGAAGCTTTGGAGAGCAAGAAACTTATCTGTCTTCATCAACTTCGGCAAATGAAATTGAAAAGCTGTCCCATATCACATTGCTCACAAAATTTGAAGGTTTTAGAGTCATGGATTGCCAGTGCAATTTGGTTCAAGTTGTATAATTAGTCACGGCGTAGATAATTAGACGAAATGTCACTCACATGTGTCCGGCGACTCTATAATATCATGAGCTTACATCATTCAGAGAACCACTGGAGGACCTGGGAGCACTGGACCGCTATTTTATCCTATTTATGGTGAGTGCATACTGATGAAGATTCCCAAACTAGGGCGAAACGGCGATCCAGTACTCACGGGTTATCCAATGGTTCTCAAAATGATGTCAGCTAGTGATGAAATCCTCCAACCAATCAAAATAAATCCTTACGAAAGCCATTACGTGACGGTACACAGTGTCTTCAATGGAATTCCCAGTAATCAATCACTAGAGGCTGACGGTGTTGACGTTCACGGATAGTAAAAAGTATACTAACGCAAAATCTAATCCACACAACTTCTATAGTATTCGTTCCACGTAGACCAAAGGCAAAGCAAAACACAAGAGTTGATCGTCCAAATTACGAGATATATTTCGGGACCAAATCGGAGTGCGAGATGATTGCTTAGCTAGCTAGGGATCGTGCAAGAACGAACGAACATTACACGACGGAGTACCAAATGGCGTGCATGCTTGACCGGAAGTCTTCGGCTAAACAAGTGGGCTTAAACAGTGAGGGTCAGCATCCAATGTTCAGTGATGAATGCTGTGGCCAATAATTTTGGGGAATTATTTATCACTACAGCTCACTCCCCGCTTGTGGGGTTGTAAGGACCCTACGACTGAACCAGCCGGAAGTGGAGTGCCTACTGGTCATCTACCTATCCTAATAGGGTGTCTTTACATTGCTTCGTTGATGTTTGTCCGTTGGATCTCGTACTTCGTTTCCTTCTTGTCCATTGCTTGTCGAACCTGGAAAAGAAAACAAGAATGCTAAGAACTTTGTTGAGGAAGATGTACTAAAAGTAACGTCTGAAAAATGATATGCATCTACCATACAGAAAAATAATGCGAAAATAGAACATCGAAAAAAAATACATATCTAATTTTTTAGTGGGTGTAGCATGTATGGTTGCAGAAAAGTCCTTACTTGTGTTGCGGGACAATATAAAAAACTTGATGTGTCCGAAAGAAAAAAATTTAATAAATACCACAAATGAATAAGAGTTGGGTGAATCGCATCACTTAGTTATGTGATATAAGTGTGATGTTCTCACGTTTCTTCCGGAACGCGTTTTTTAGGGATCGACAGAAGGTTCGGAGGCTTTCGCCGTGTTAGTGATTTCTTCGAGGACTAACGGATATTCGGTTACTTGTGTATTGTTGGGATCGCTCAACTCTAGGCTAATAGGATTGCCTTCTAATTGGGCCGATTTCAGACGATCGATGCTGACGGTGTCTACTCGGCTTTTTTGTCCAAGACAAAGAATTTATCCATAAGTTTAACGACTTTGTATAGTCCGTCGTATGGGGGTTCCCGAGGGCGATGCACAGAGTCACTACAAACAAATACATATGAAGAAGTTTTCAAACACGGATAAACAAAGACGTCTATGGACTGTGGTCGAAGGGGAGCAGGTTCAACTGAACACACGGCTTCTGTAGGCCTGCTGACGTATGAGGCATGATCTACCACGGTGAAAAGTAGTCCAGTTGTTGTGATTCTCCAGGTGAATGCTTATCCAAAGTTGAGTTCAGAGAGTACGTCAGAGGTTTTTGGTCAGCGAAAATTACAAATTCACAACCCTCCACTGAATGTCGAAAATAACGTATAGCACAGTAACAGCAAGAAGTTCTCTGCCGAATGTGCTGTACTTCGTTTCAGCTAATTGAAGGTGCCTCGAGAAAAAGGCGAGTGGTTGCCACTCTTTGTTAACTAGTTGTTGCAGAACTGCGCCGATTGAAGTGCCCGATGCATCAACCGAGATACTTAACGGTGCCATTGGATACTGATATATAAGAAGTGTGGCATCTGCAATAGCTTTCTAACCTCAGTGAAAGCATTTTGAGCAGACGTGTCAAGTTCGGTGGATTTGTTGTTGCCTCGAAGAAGGTTGGTCAATGGCTGAATCAGAGAGGCACAGTTGGGAATAAACCGTCGGTAATAACTTACCGAGTCGTTAAAAGTGCGAAGACTTTTCACTGTCTCTGGATCTGGAAAGTTCAGTACCGCTTTAACTTTACTAGCCAGTGGGCGAGTACCCTTGCAGTCAATAGTGTGGCCCAGAAAATCGAGTGAGTCAAAGCCTACCTAACAATTTTGAATAGTAATGGTAACACCATGTTGGTATAACCTTTCGAATGCCAAGTCCAAGTGTCTAAGTTGAGATTCATTGTCTCGACTGGCAATGAAGCAGTCTTATAAGTATGGGTATACAAAGTGGAGACCACGAAATACTCCGTCAATGAAGCGTTGAGATGTTTGTGCTGCATTCCGGAGACCGAATGCCACACTTACAAATTCAAAAAGTCCGAAAGGCGTAATGATAGCCGTTTCAGAATATCTTATGGTGCTATCAGGATTTAGGTATACACTTTAACCAAGTCTATTTTCGAGAATATAGTCGCGCCAGATAATGTTGCCGTCAAGTAATGTATTGTGAGGCAATGGGTCGCCAGTCGTTGCTATCCTTTTTCGGTTCCATATGCAGCGGGGATGCCCATGGGCTATTCGATGGCCGAATGATGCTAAGGGTGAGCATATGGTCGAACTCCTTTATAGGGAGTCGCAGTTTGTCAGGAGAAAGTCGTCGTGCTTCAGATGTCACGCGCTGTCCTGAGGTTATGATGAGGTGGATAGCATTACTGGTTATGCTCGGTAGATCGTTAGACGGGCAGCTAAGTTCCGGATATTTATCAACAGTCGGTTGAAAAGTTGCATCAAAGATTGCCTTCATTTTAACAAGTGACGAACTGGGGCTTATGTAGGTGATGCCTTTTATGGACAGACTAGTAGTATTGTCAACCAGTCGTTTTCGGTGGACGTCTACGAGTAAATCATGATGATTAAGTAGGTCCGTGCCAATGATGGGCATTGTGACGTCAGCGAGAACGAAAATTCACTAAATAGGTTTACGTGAACCTACGTTCAGATAGACGTATTTCCTACCAAAGGTTGCAACTGCTTTTCCATTTGCAGCATGTAAGTTGAAGGTAGGTTCCTTCTGTCGGTCTGCTGCTGCAACAGGAAGGACGCTGACTTCGGCGCCTGCGTCGACTGAATATCGAGTTTGGTTGACCACATCATGAATGTAAAGGAGGAGGTTAGTGCCACCGCCGAGGGTTGCCGCTAACGCGTACCGGCGGGATAGTTTCCCACAGTCTTTGAGACATTGTTGAAATTACAAGGCTTTCGGCAACATTTCGCTTCCTGGCCATAGGTGCTGTGATACCAGTCAGGGTTTTTTAACGAACGTGGCTTGGATTTAGATTGACCACATGAGTTTCGCCATTGAGGGAAGTTCGGGCGACAGTAGGAGGAATTACAAGGTATGTTTGACCTGAGCATCTGTTAGATGGAGTTGCATAACTCCATCCCTGCAGTATCCCTACTCGAAGTCTGTTTGGCCACCGAGCATATTTCGCTAACTAGCCGTTTAGTTATTTCTAGAATTTTTACCTGCAGAAACAGCTAAATCATCTATAATAACACCCTGAAGTGTCACAAGTACAACCTGTATTAACTGTGGCAGTTTGGATAAGAACAGTTCTCTGAAAAGTCCTTCATCGAGTTGACGTTGGCCAATAACTTCCCTCATTCTTGTTAGCATGCTCATGGCTGACCTATCACCTAACTCGACGTTGCGAAATAGTTCATTAAGACGCTGTCGATGCGTAAGAACGTTTCTCCTAAGGAGGGTTGCTTTAAGCAACTCACACGAGTTAATTACCTCTAGGTTCGACATCTGCACAGTTAACGCACTTGCTGAATTCCCGCAGTAGGGCGTGAAAAACTGCACGGAAATGTGAACGTTGAACAGTTAACCCATATTCGCCAAAATCAGACTCAGCTATCTGAAAACATGATTCAGCATTATCTGGGCAAAATGGTACGATTAAGAATGACCTTAGGACTGTGATCACTCATGACGAAATACATACAGTTTGAAAATAGTACAAGAACAAATACAAAATGGAACGAACTCACCGGATTTGTCTGTGTATTTACCAAAGATGAAGTTCGCGGTTGGGCTCACCAGTTTAGAGGCTGACGGTGTTGACGTTCACGGATAGTAAAAAGTATACTAACGCAAAACCTAATCCACACAACTTCTATAGTATTCGTTCCACGTAGACCAAAGGCAAAGCAAAACACAAGAGTTGATCGTCCAAATTACGAGATATATTTCGGGACCAAATCGGAGTGCGAGATGATTGCTTAGCTAGCTAGGGATCGTGCAAGAACGAACGAACATTACACGACGGAGTACCAAATGGCGTGCATGCTTGACCGGAAGTCTTCGGCTAAACAAGTGGGCTTAAACAGTGAGGGTCAGCATCCAATGTTCAGTGATGAATGCTGTGGCCAATAATTTTGGGGAATTATTTACCGTTACAAAGCAATACCTCAGAGGATGCAGGAGGAGTTGAGGGCAAGCGAGATGGAACTATATCAATTTTGATGTAACACTCTGACTCTTAGAAGTAATGTCAGTACTTCTATTCAACCAGCCAACTATTAGAGTAGAAAAGCGTAGATATTGAGAAGAGAAATATCAACGTAGGCTCGAAGCCTTCTATACACATTCCGAAATCTTTTTTTGTATACAGAGTAAACCAGGCGTCTTTATGAGGTCAAGGTCGTCAGGGAGTTACGGTGAGTGCTTTTGCCGTGCTATCAGATTTATCCCAGAAACAGTAACCCGAATCAGTCTTTGAACTAGATGGTGTCAGGCGGTTTTTATTTTAAGATTTACTTTCGCGGGAATGACTAATTCCTCGTTGCATTAGTAGATTTTTTATCAAACTTGTTTGGTAATTGGGCTAAGGTGGCTGAAACAGTTGAACCTCGTCCTGTTCTTTTGTTACCATTCTAGTCGAAATTACTTAAGATCATATCTTTTTATTTCAAAAGCAAGATGAACTTTTCCAGGCAGCAACTCACCTCCTTTTCTTATTTGACTTTGGGAAGCTGACTACAAAATTATGCGTCAAAAGTGGATCACTTGACCGTTTTCTAGCTAAGGTGTCTGCGTTTAGCTTGTTATATAAGCTAGTACAGTATGTTCAGTGATATCGAGGTTATAGCATCAATCTCTAGGCGCAGGACGTTAGGTACCTAACATGGATACAAAAGGCTCGTGCAGTATTTGCCAGCCTTGGCAGAGACGTGGTGTCCAGTTATCCATCAAAAGTGCTTACAGTCCAGACGTTCGCTCTGTGGGACAGCTGGACGTGGAAAACCGGAGGCCAGTCGCTTTTAATCAAGGTAAAAGTGTACCAGGCACTAGTTTTTTTGTAGGACTCTAGGTGCTTTAAAGCAGCCTATAGCATTTAGTCTCTAATCATTAACGATTATAGTATATTTCTTTCAAACGTTCACTAAATGAACTGTTATGATTAATCACCCCTACAAGCTTAAGTCGCTTAACACTGATAATACATTCCGCTGCAGATTTTAAAACTTTTTCCGAAATTTTGGTTGATTTTTAGGAGAAAAAGGATTAGGCATGTCGACACTTACATAACTATTCTAAATACAATGTGGCAGATTATACTATTAGAAAGATACAGACTTGCCAACGCCATTTCAAAGAGATGTTAATAAAGTTTCGTTAGTTACTTAGTAACTATCTACTACAAGTTTTATTGTGTCTGTCTGTTAAAGCAAGCACCAGTCGCTTGTATATGTAGTATTCCAGATAAAGTCGTACACTAATAGTATTTACGATGTTGAACATTTCTTTATCAGAGAACCTAATGACTCTGTGAAGTAACTGCAATAACCGGATTTGTCCACACCTTATTACGTAATAAGGGGAAGTTAGTCGATTATACTGTGCTGCTGCGATAGCTGAAATAGCTAGGTCACGTGTGTAAGGTGTGGACAAATCCGGTTATTGCAGTTACTTCACAGAGTCATTAGGTTCTCTGATAAAGAAATGTTCAACATCGTAAATACTATTAGTGTACGACTTTATCTGGAATACTACATATACAAGCGACTGGTGCTTGCTTTAACAGACAGACACAATAAAACTTGTAGTAGATAGTTACTAAGTAACTAACGAAACTTTATTAACATCTCTTTGAAATGGCGTTGGCAAGTCTGTATCTTTCTAATAGTATAATCTGCCACATTGTATTTAGAATAGTTATGTAAGTGTCGACATGCCTAATCCTTTTTCTCCTAAAAATCAACCAAAATTTCGGAAAAAGTTTTAAAATCTGCAGCGGAATGTATTATCAGTGTTAAGCGACTTAAGCTTGTAGGGGTGATTAATCATAACAGTTCATTTAGTGAACGTTTGAAAGAAATATACTATAATCGTTAATGATTAGAGACTAAATGCTATAGGCTGCTTTAAAGCACCTAGAGTCCTACAAAAAAACTAGTGCCTGGTACACTTTTACCTTGATTAAAAGCGACTGGCCTCCGGTTTTCCACGTCCAGCTGTCCCACAGAGCGAACGTCTGGACTGTAAGCACTTTTGATGGATAACTGGACACCACGTCTCTGCCAAGGCTGGCAAATACTGCACGAGCCTTTTGTATCCATGTTGAGGTATCGTCATCAGTCAGTCGATTGGTGCTGACGCAACTTTCCAAAAAAGTGAATTGGACAACATGCTCTGCTATATCACTCCTTATGGTTAAACCAGAAGTTGGTGCAGACCAGTCTTACAGCGTCATTCTGCGTTTAACAGAAGCAAATCGGATGCCGTACATACTGAGATACACCTTTAAGGTGTCCAGGAGATCCTGCCTTTTGTCGTCTTCATGTGGAAGGCCTGTATCATCCGTTGGTCAGCAAGGCCCTGCTCTATTAAGAAAATCAATTCTTTCAGTAGATTTGCATGTGCACTAGACCGTTACATAACGTACCAGCAAATTAGCAAAATTAAATTACTGTATTCAGTTTTTTGTACAAACCTTTCCTTTTTTTATAGGTACTTCCTAATCCTGAGGAATTTATTCGTTTCTAGGAAATGAATCCTACTTTCCATCTTTCTAATGCTACAAACACAATGACAATACATACAATTCTCGACGCCTTTTTATCGGTCTGAATATTCAGTTGTATAATTTTCTCATGCAGATACCTTGGAAAGACGAAATATGGCTTGTTTCTGTGATGGTATTCCACTTAATCACACCAATATGTTTAATTCCACTTCGCAGTTTCACAAGTTTGCTTCTGTGTGTTCTGTTTTTCTTGCGTAAGTGTCTGTATCCTCTTATATATGATCTAGTTGGTACTGTTTGGTGTTCAGATTGGATTAATGAAGTCGCTGCTAATCATTGGAAGTAATCGTTGTTTGATTATTGTTAATTTGCTTAGCTCATTTGCTACTGAGCAGTATTTCGACAGTAGTGGGTACTTCCTGTCGTGCATTTGGAGCATACCAGCCATTCTCAACAGTTTAATAATTACTGTAAGTTCGCTGATCTATACTTACTCAATTATAAAGGTTTTGCTTTTCCTACAGGTGAATACTCTACTTGTACGATGCAAGCGCCTTCAAATGGCCCATCAGCAACATGTAAAGAAAGATTAATATATATACGTATATATTACAACTTTTTTATTGGAAGTGAACTGGCTATTTTTGGATGATGTTTTGATACTTCTTAACGTATGACAATAGTTGTTTTCACTGTTATTTTAATATATTTTCTTAAAGTGTAGAGTTGACTGCTCGTTTAACATTAAAACATGAACAGTCAGATATGCAGTAGTAGAGCATAGAATTTCTTATGAGAAGTATACTGGGTTACAGCAATCGATACCCGTGTGACAATAACTTTTTGCTAGTAAATTAGGTGTTAGTTGTCTTCGGTGCATTCATTTTTGCGAAAAACAGACGATGTAGACTCTTCAAAAATTTTCTTTCTAGGCATTCAGTTTCTGTTCAGAAAAATGTAAAAATCTGGCTTTCAACCAGTAGGTCACATGTTCCAACCTTGTTCTATATAGTGTGGTTTGGGAAACCAAATTGTATCACCAGCCCTCGCATAATAAGTGTGACTTATTGCTACCTGTATATGATTGTTGGATAACATTTCATTTTCATAAAAATGTAGGATTTATTTCGTGTAAGTAGATTCACTAGGTTGATAAATTTCATATACAATATACTTTTGCTGCCTCCGGCTGTATACTGATTTCGAACAGTATATGAAAAGAATGTGTAATGTTTACTGGTAAGGCAACCGAAACAAACTGTTTAAAACTGTGGGTGATATCGCCTACGTCATACTAATTTATTCCCGATTCCTGTCTGTGGATAGTTTCTTTTTGTGTAATTCTACTATTACTGCTGCTGGTATATAACTTTCTAGATTGTTCTTTTTCATTTGATTTTTCCTTACTGTATTGTTGTCAAGTCTAATAACGTACGGGTAAAAAGCTCACAGTAGTATTATTCACTCACATCCATGCAATTATTTCACCCGTTTTACTAACAGCGACCAGAATTAACTTAAGTTCAGCTAGGTGATCTGTTTTTAAATGTTTTTCGCGCATAGCTCTGCGGATCTTCAGAAAATGTATCAGTAATGTATTAGTTGCGATATTAACCTTGTGGATCATAAAGGTATAGATGGGAAAGGATGATGCTGTAACGGAAGTCAACTCTACTACATTGAACAATTCTATGGCTTCCAGTAAATGTGTTATTATTCCATCTAAAAAATCTAATCGAGTAAACGTTTTGCGTAAAGGAATAAAGTTTTCTGTCCAAAGAATAACGCACACACTCCTTTCAGCCACTTATTTATTTGTAAAGGTCTTATAAAGAAATATATCACGAAAAATTAGGTAGATTATTACTAATACATTCTCATCGAATTAATTAACAAAAATCGCCATAGGGAACAAAAAAAAGCATCGTGTAGGGTGATATTAAATCTATACATTATTTTATATTTAGAAAATATACAGAAAGTTACTTTACAAGTTATAATGAGGAAAACACATCAGTTTTTTAGACCAAGCTTTTTCTTTTCTTTCTCCTTTTTTCTATGGACTTCTAGTTGGCGGTTGCGCCAGTCGCTCTTTTTAAGTTTAATTGGACGGTTACCAACATATTTACCTAAACAAAAAAGATAAAATACACAGCAGTAGAAATCTTGAAAGAGAAGGGCTGCAAATTTTCAGTGGGATGACTAAAAATTGTATGTGTGTTTGTTCCCACTGATTATCCAGATTCTAAATATCCCGATTTAATTATTCTCTCCACTGCAAATTGAACTTTTGTGCAGAATTCTACGATTTTTTTGTATGTATGTATAAGGAAGAAGTGCATATAAATATGTACTCAAGACATTTGACATTCTAGGAACATGATAAAAAAACAGACATTTCAAAGAAATAGTCGGAATATGTTTCTGATACTCAACTTATTACAAGAGGTGAAAGTTTATCGCTTGAAATCAGTCATTATTTATGGGCGGTAACTACTGTCCCTTTTTAGTTATTTATGGTAGACCTAGGTGGAACAGATTTCACGATTGACGCTTTATTACTCTTTGGAAAATAATAATGCGATTCAGTGTTAACTGAAAACTACGAAAAAGTTAGTATGCTAAAGGACCTAAGGACATTTTCTGTCACATTTCAAGTTCGTTAGGATAACTGGCATTGACTTAATTTTTCAAGTCAGTTCGACAACATTAATTATCCCCTACTTCTTGTACTGCACCATCATCACTTTAAAATAAGTAGAAACTAGAAATGGCTTTCTTTTTTGTAAATCCAGCAAACTGTTACCTTTTAATCTCCTTTAAGTCTATTTCGACAGTCAAGCCTGCCCTTGCCAACTAAGCTATAATTAATGATACAGATATATACAGTGAAATAATCAGTTTCTTAAGGTTTCTCTCATAGGTGGTAAAATAATAATATACTGTGAAGTGAGTAAAGTATCAGCAATATCAGTATAACAATTGTGACCGAAATTTTGATTCCACTTAGAAGATAACTTTATACTCACCATTCATTTCTCGCATAGCGCGAGTGAAATCTCCAGGATCAGAAAAGCTGACAAATCCATAGCCACGAGATTTTCCAGTACGTTTATCTCGAACTACCCTCGCCTTTTGGAAAGATGGATAACGATTGAATGCTCTTGATAAAGTATCGTCTGTCACCTCATTGCCCAGATCTCCACAGAACAATCGAAAATCATCTACAAAATAAAAGATTAAAAAAAGTCAATATGGGTTACTGAATAGAACAACTACCATTTATAGACCTAATACATATAACTTTAAAGGACTATAAAGAGCATTCGCAACTATAATATTATACTGTTGTATGTTTGAAACTAAAGTAAATCGTCATAGAGGAAAGTATTATCAAAGTGAATTACTACATCTTAGCTGTTTTGTGCTTTATGAGTCACATTGTGTGTTATATCTGGTAACGATCTGAGATTGGGTAGACCTTGTAAGGGAGAGTAAAATATGGATACACCTATTGTTTATAAGTTCATCCCTTTAGCTAACATGTGGTAATTGAAGAAAGAAAAGGGAATTACGTCAGGACCCATGATAACATTTCGCGTTGTAGACAAGTGCAATAAATAAACATCTTATCAATAGACCATTCAGATTGAAAGTTAACCTGAAATAGCAGAGACACTCGCAGAAACATTCTTTTCACTTACAGGAAATAAGGCGTGGAGACCTTCGTTATCTCATGATGTTGGTTTCTCTGTATTTGTTTATTCCCGAAAATAAGTTGTAGTAAGTCACTTTTCGGTGCAGTTAAATGGGTCGACCAACATTGAAGGCATAGTAACAACTGCAAACATACGACATACCTGGGTCAGAAGAACAAAGAAACCGCAATAACTAACTGGTTAAACGAAAACCTGGAGTCCGTCCATGAAATCTTCGACACTTAGCTTGAGCCAGTTCCTTAGGGAGGTGTAGACTGCCTGGTTAGAGTCATTGAGATGCTCAGAATCAATGAACAAAAACTATTGGTGACAAGGTTCAGAATCGTTTTCAATGGTGCAGATGCATTCACCCTTTGTGGTCTGCCGTCATATCCATTAAACCCTACTGTTTTTACTTTGTTAATATTCTTCCCCTGTCACACTTCTACTTATTATCGTCCTTTTGAATCCCTTCTCTCTCTCTCTTTTGTCTTCCTTTGTGTGCTACATAGAGTGTAGAAAGTTGAACTGCTACATTTCTGTGCAAAGTCCTACGTTGAAACCAGTCAGCCAACAACTTACTTTTCCGTCCGGATTATAAACGGAAATTCAACTTTGTTTACTGGTTGACTGCCACATATAGGCAGTACTAATACAGACCAGTTGAGAACTTTATAATCAGGTATGTTATCACATTTCACAAAGTGAAAAATGAGGAAGTAGATAAAGAATTCTACAAAGGATAATAATGAGGCATTTGCAGTAGCCATAAGCAGTAAGCTTGTTTACATTCGCATAATAAAATAAGAGGCACTACTTCAAATTTAGAATCCTATACTAGAAATGCCATAGGCTGGGTCAAAAACCTGAAGGCAGTTTGTCTTTAGCACTTGTCTATTTATCAATATGAACAAGTTACCAAAACTCGCTAACTCTAACGACATCTGGAAGTTGGTAACAGGTATTTATTGATGCTTTTATAGGAAACTGAAAATAATATGCAGCTTTTTCAAGGCGTTTCACACTGTCGTGTGTTAAGGCTATCACACGCAACTTTGAAAACGCTGACATTATAGCTGCATCCATTTGGTCTTACATTTTTAATTTATTAATCCGCTCCAATAGCATCCCAACGGTAACTATGACAAATTCCAGAGTCTGTGTTGCTATTTTTGACTGTTAGAACTAAGACATTTGTAGGTGACGTACTCCTACAAAGCTTCTAACAGTTATGTTATCTAACGAACGATAAGGATTTATCTCCACAATCAGAAAGAGGCAGTGAATTTCTTGCCATCGGAATTAATGAACATATGACAAATTGTCTGATAGAGCTTAAACTAGTGAAAATCCATATCACTCTGTTACAAAAGAAAAGTAAGTTTGAAGAAAGACTATGACAAGCAGGTCGAGAAAGCTTTGGTGACTAGACCAGATTAAGGGGACGTTTTATTAGTCTTCCATCTCACATGTAGAACTCTTCCCAATGATAATTTCGTGAAAACAATGTCTCAGGCCTTGGATATGACTAAAAGAGATATTCCTAAATGTGACAGCAATCCCATAAACTACCGGAGTTTTGTATAAAAAATTTCGAAGACTGTGTAACACCATAAAGAACGGCCGTGAGTTACTGTTTACAGATTAAAGCCTGTATATCTAGCAGGAGTCGGATATTGTTTACAGTAAATACGGATGGCTAGCTATTGGACACTCCACTGGAAGGGATAGTAAAGAATCTGAACTCCTAAGAAGAACGCTAATCCAGATTCTCAATAGTGTCTGAGGCTCAGCTTTCTGAATCTAATTCTAAAGAAACTAATTAACAATCCTCTAAATGAATCATCTTCGTTCGTTCGACCCTGTATAGTATGTCTAGAGGAGCACTTTTTAAAGTGATGTTCGCAATTTAACGATGGGAACTTGGATGAACGTTTTGATACCATCCTTGGAAAATATTTCAGGGGCCTGAGTAGTAAAAGGATTGCTCCAGGTGGAAAGAGTTGTGCCAACAACGAATCGGAGGGCAACGTGGGGTCATTTATATGATGCGGACATTAAAGGTAAAGTGAATGTAACGATTAACAAATGGTTCAGTTTACCTAGTGAATGTTGCGCCATAAAACTTTATATTGGACACTACTGGAACTTAACACCGAAGTCCTTGGAGAAATTAGTGTGATGAACCATGCCTTATCTACATATAAATCCGATGAAAATTGTGAGTCACACACACTTGATGGTCCAGCTCGGCTGTTAGGTTGACTCAGTGCCTTCAAATTTTGTTCTGAGACGCTAACGATTCCTGCAATATGTTAACGTTTCATCCATAATAAAGAAATGCAAATGAACTTGAAACTATTAATTCTTGAAAAGCAATCAGTGGAGGATGTCAGTAAAGCAAAACTACAGATACTTAGGCTTATAGAGAGCCTGAAACACTAAGACCTGTGAAAAATAAGTGTGAAAACCCTATATGTAGCCCTGAAGGAGGAAAATTCAAAACGGAAAATAAGTTGTTTCATCATCAAATCTATTCCAGCACAGCTGTGAACAAAAACATCGTTTGAGAAAGTCCGATAAGAAAACACGTTCCGCTTTTGGTGGACATCATTCGTGTCCTGCGTTCCCTACAATCACCACACATACCTTTCAACATTAGGCACACAGTTACAGGCCTTGGATAAACTAGTAAGAAAATTGCTACCTATATGAATGGCGCACTGTAACCATCAGAATGCTCATAGTGGTGTTATGCATGTTCTAAACAGTTTTCGAGAACATTGGATCCTTAAATGTTACACTGCTGTTAGAAAAGTCTTAAAACAACGCTAAGCTCGACACAGTGTCCTCACCAAATGGCTCCAACACATGAGTGCCGATTGGAGGTTTATCTACCAATACTCCATTTTGTTGGTATTGACTATTTTGGAACATTTTATGCAAAGAGCGGTTTCTTGTTTATTTACAGGAGCAGTTCGTGTTGAAATGTCACATATAATCAATGACAAGGGCTCAAAATGTGGAGTAGCTTATGCTTGCCTAGAGCAGATTATCAGAAGCTGGTATCAGGGTGAGATAGTGGTCTACGAGAAAGAATGTGAATCACACATCAATCTACCTGGAACTAGCTACTAAGGTCTGTAGGAGAGCGTCGGCGGGTCTCACAGGCACTTTTAAACAACCAATCTCTAGTAAAACTAATAAATGACTATGAAGATTTAGGTGTGCTAACAACAAATAAGCTGCTGCGAATTCAAAAAACCGTTACAATTAGAAGCAGTGGAAATTAGTAGAACATCTTTATATGATAAAAGAAGCCTATATTTGACAATGTCTTGGAGCTGGTGAGTACGCGAGATCTTCCCAACCCTACAAGCGAGATGGAAGTGTCTAGATATGAAGAGGAACATGCAGTCTGGAGACCTAGGTCTGGCAAACAATATAGGCACACCCAGAAGGCTGTGGCCAAAAGCTATAGTTAAGTAGGCGTATTATGATCGGAAGGACCAGGATAGGAAGGTAGGTTTGAAGACCACAACTCAAAAGATCGATTGAGCCATAAGAAGTTTGTGTTTGTTAGAAAAAGCAAAGTACCTGAATACTTCGGAGACGACATGTCGGCGAGGTAGTTTTCTTGCTGGGATTGCTAACTGCAACACAAATATTGTGACGCCCCTCACCAATCAAATACCGAATATGGTATTCATATGACCGTTAGTGTTCTGTGCGTACACGCTCATTATTTAGGGCTAATTACGTGTCTGTTACTTTTTTCTACTTATATACATGTAAATTTGACTCATTCAACATTTGGTTTCGCACATTAATACTGTTCGTTATATTTCTACCCTTGCTTGAATGGGAACTGCTACGTACATATTGCTGTCATATAACTGTACTAGTTTTGTATTTCAGAAACAGTCAGGCTACCAGTGTTTTAACTGAATCAAAGTTCAGATTTTGTGTCATTATTGTTGACCGTCATAACTAAGACATCTGGAGGCACTTAAATTTTGAGTTACCCTGTATCGACAGTTCATTTGAGTCCACTTTAGTAATGTGATGACTCTTCACAATTCAAAGTAGTGCTGATTAGGAAAAGCAGCAAATAACTTTCCATCTGCCTGACTTAGTCTCTTCACTTGTGCAACAAGTGTATCTGAGAGATTAAAATTAGCATTAACTCAAACAGTCTTTGGTAGGACTTACTCGTTTTGCACTGTGTGAACTACAGTTAGTGAGTACGAAAGTAAAGACTATTAATAAATTAATCTCCACCTTGTCTTTCGATCACTCAATAAACTTGTGCAAAAAGTAAATCTTATATTAATATAAGGTAATATAAATACTCACTTGGATCCCATTCGGACAAGGTTGGGTCTTCCCATGTGACTCCAGCAGCCGTCCGGATGTATTTCTTTTTCTTGGTAAACTGATCATTTGTATTATTTGTGTTAGCGGAACGATAAATAGAAGGGGGAGGTGGTGGGAGTAAAATAGTTTGTGTCACCTTATCAGCTTCGGTATCTACGGATGAGTTGGCTGGTTTCGATTTATTATTTGACTGTCCAACAACTGGTGTCAGCGGAGGTTTTGTAATACTAGCCGTGACTTTTTCTAAACAAACGAGAAAAAATATGTAGACAGATCATCTGCTTACTCGAAATAAACCGCACAGAATTCTTAATTATTTACCACAGAATAATTTGTATTTGTACTTACTTAAGTTGTGATTATTTTTAAAGTGATTAAGTTTGGAATACTGCCAGTTTAAATGAAAAAATGTATACGGTATTTGAATACTGTTTTCTTTACCTGACATCAGAATTTCTGTAAAGGTGAATTATAGGAGAAAAACCGCCTTACAAATGTACACTGAAAACAGTTTCATTAACCACTTCGGTATATATCATGAAGAAAACACAAATTACATATATAAACAGCGATTATTACAATTTGAAGAACTCCCACAAAATTATTTGTTGGATGTTACTTGAAATATTTCTCACTTTGTGATTAAACACTTAGGGATACTTTCAAGATGCGTCAATCGAGAAACTATTAACCCACAAAAATGGGACCTACAATGCGAAAGTTTAATTATCTTCTATACACAAACTGGAATGTAGGTAACACGTGAACGAGAGAGCTTATACATGAGGAGGAGTTAACCAGTAGTAAGCAATGAACCTTGGGGTTTCATGCTTGCACACGCTCAGCATCAAAGTTTTTCTGCTAACCTGAAGAAATCCATGTTTCTCTAACACTTCAAAAATACGAAATTTATTACATGAGTAAACGGAATATTTCTTTTAAAACGCTTAGAACCAAATAACTACATTGGTTACTACCGGGTGATCAACCTGTGCACAGATCTTATGCTTCCAAACCACAAAAATGATACTAAATCTAATTTATTTCCAAGTCGGAACAGTAATGACCATTTTTGAGAATTATCGTGCGAAAATTTCGAATTCTGTGATATTCTTACCAATAGATAAATTAAGATACGGAGGTTGAGGAATCTTTGTCCTAGAAAATCACTACTAACCATATATAGTAGAGAAGAAAGCAACTGGCTTGTTTGTAGAATACATTTAAAATTTGGAAAGAAAATTACCAGGAATTTGTATGGAAAACCTTCTACCCATTTGTGCTATTTTATCTATTATGCCGGTGAGTTTTTCTTTTTTTAAAGGCTGATTATGCAATATTGTAAAAATGTCATATGTGAATATGCACAGCAAAACCTGACAGTTATCTCTACACTTTCTAAGAAGTTAACAGGTTTCTTAATTAATGCTGCACTTTGCTTCTCTGCAGGGACGGTGAATTCATTAGTTTCTAGAGTAAATACGGTGCCTGTGGATAGTTTTGGGTCAAATACGCTAAGGCAACCAAAAATGAACAACTGCATTAAAGTCGTCCTATTTCGCAGTGAGAATAAATAATCAAAATCGGTCTTATATATATACATATATGACTTACCTTTTCCATCTGGTCCCTGAACACGTGTGTAAGTAACTCCAGCTGCTGCAGCTAACAATGCTCGAGTAACATCGTCATCCTCGTCTTCAGCTTTAGATTTGGCAGCTGCGGCAGCAGCAGCAGCTTCCTTTGCCCGAGCCGCCAACTCGTTAGGCCCTGCCATTTGTGGCGCGGCAGTGATGACTTTCTGGGTAGGATTCGATTCCGCATTGGTCCCTTTATTACTTGCTGCAACGGAAAATGTTTCCGTCTTTGCAGTAGGGACTGAAATGGTAGATGTTTTAGGTGGAATAAAAACCGGGTTAGGAGGTGGTATGTGTGTGTGCGCCATATTCATAGGGTAACAGGATACAGGAGGCTGAGACAGAGGGACAAACATGGATACTCCTGGTGGCATCGGCAAAACTAAAAGAAAAGAAATAAAATATATTTCAATGGCAGACATGGAAAGTGCTCAAGCTTAAAGTGGGTGAACTTTGTCCGAAAACACGTTTCACTTATAAACAGTTTAATAGCCAAAATCCAAAGTACGTCACACCCAAGTAACTATGGAGCCCTAATTACTGATTAACAGCAAAAAGAATTTGAGAATGCCTCAATAAGAAGTCCCTTTAATCAGGGGCAATGAAGAAATTTGTGCAGGTAGTTACTTAGTAACAGTTATAAAACTTTAATTAGTGATTTCTGACTGAATGCTCTCCTGTAACTGATCGTGAATCACGTTTTAAGCTTTCAAATACCGTTTTGATTTTACATAAACTGGAACCAATGTACTGACAGGTAATTATGCAACACAGACCATAGGGCATTTTACGAAGTATGAAATCTTAATCCAACAGATTCGAGACTTCGATATAATTCAACACTATGGTTAGAAATATGAAAAACAACAGTTCTAGGTGTATCACGATATCAGGACCAGTTATTCATACTGATTGAAAAGATCAACCTCAGTCTACAAGACGATTAGAGACGACTGGGACAAGTTTGTTAGCAATCTAGCTGATACTACTAACTGCAAAGTTTGGAATTCTGAACCAACTTATACACTTGAAGAACCTATGTCATTGCGTACAATTCAAAATTATGTACTGCTAGATGTCATAATTACATCTCACAGAGTTAAGTAGTCTTACACTGACTTGATTCTGTGTTAAGCTCTAAATATTTAGTATGCTAGAGTTAGAGTACGGTACACAAATAAACGATACGGTGCTTTCCGAAAATAGTAGTGCGTTTCGTTTAAGCTAGTGGTTAGTCATCCATTATGTGAAGTCAAACAAACGAATCACCACGAAACTTTATACATACGCATATCATTTTAATTTGACACTTGGTAACAGTATAAACCAATGAAAAACATAAAAACACAGTGCCGATATGATATGCACGTAATTAAGAGAAATAAAAATTAAACAAACATCAGTGGATGTGCTCAGAAAATAGATTTGTTCTATCTTTTCATCTGACTATACATAATTCTTTTCAGGCTAATCTTGCTTCAGCTAACACTGCTAGTGAGGGAGGGTCGTAGCTCGGCAAGAGCTACACCTGTCCTAGTCATCTTATTGAGACGCATCATCATTTCTACAACTTGATTACCTTATTAGTACTGAACGTATTATTCTGGTTAACACGAAAAGTCGGAGGAATATGACCAGCTCCGGAAAAATCTAGTTAAATGAGTAATACTCACTTTTTTTCATTTGTTCCACTTTTTATTGCTACTTTCACAGCCAGAAAAAAGAACGGAGCAAACAACAGTCTACACCTTTTTTGAATCATAACTGGCGAAATCCGAGTGATTTTGTATTCATTTCATTGGCTAATAGTCGTAAAAATGAGATATGGCCATGATACTCTAGGTTTCAAAAGAGACTTATACAAGTGATCGACCTACTCATATTCTTTTACTTATGCAAAAAGACTTAGAGGACATTTGTCCAGATTTAACGCTTTGGCCATTGGATATAGGGTTCTCCATTAGGACCGGGGCCAACTTTAAAAAAGAGCTGTTTCCATGTGCACCTCATTAGTGAGAATGAACGGGTATATATACCTAATTCAAAAAATAGCCAACATAATCTCGACACTTTCAAACCAAAGCATCTGTTGATTTGCTGTATTGCAGACAATCAAGTCTTTAAAATGAACTCTGAAGGTTACTTTAATTAATATGTATGAAATTGTTTACGGAAATCAGCAGTTTGCACAAACTTTTGTCGATTTTAACGCAGGAATACGTGAATATGTAAATTTAGAGCAGTCAACGTGCAGACTTTAGATTCTCTCACAGAGTGGTCAACGACTGGAACTCCTTACCTGATTCAGTAGTATCAGCTCCATCGATGAACAATTTCAAAGAGAAGTTAGATCTCTGCAGAGACATATTTTGTAAGGATTAACACAGGCCACAAGAGCCTTCTATCCTTATCATTTGAATCTGACCGACACGTGTCAGTCAACTGCACTTCATTATATGTAGCATATCTATAAACCTGAACTGTCACATCAGCTTTTTGTAGTTTTACCAGGAGTAAACATGAGGAAAATAAAAGTGAAGCTGATATTATAAACCACAATGAGGAGAATCAATTCTTTCCACATATAAGGATTTAACATAGAAGCAAACAGTAACCATCTATACATACCCGAGAAAACTGGCTGAACAACATTCGCTGCACTCTGATTCACACGTAACTGAGGAGGAATAAAGGTAGTTGCTGGTGGGAAAGTAAACCCGCCAGATAGTGGAACATTCGGAGCAGGAACAGATGACTGATGGGCGATTTCCGCCTCAAATCTGTACATAAAAATTACACAAACAATAATTGCTCATTACCTATCCATCTCCTTCTCCATCTGCTTAAGCTTGTCATTACTTTCTGCCATAGCTTTTCTGATTTCCCGAAACGTATTATCTGAGAAACGTACGTCTTAATTGTCGCGCCAATCCAGTATCCAACGTTCTTTATAGATATTTTGGTTAATGAAATAAGGAGATGCTTCGATGTCTTCTGACATCTCGTATCGTAACCAAGCCATATCAGGAGTAAAACATGTGGTATATGTTACGGTACTCTGTGTACTTTTCAATCACTTTTCACGCCGGGGGACACTATCGGTATTCAGCTTTCTTATTTGAACCTAAATAAAGCTGCCTACAAAATCATAAGAGTATCTCCCGCTAGTTTATTGAAGGTTCGTTGTGTTATCCAAAGTGTCATTTAGCTTCTGAGAGTTACTGAACGACAGTACTTCATAATTTACAAGTCGGGACTTAAAAATCACTATGTGAATCGAAAGGAAAAGCCTTACTTCCGTGCTGCGTGCATAGGAGACCAAAAACATCTTACTCATTAGTCCTCACCTTTGCATGCGGTAACTAAGGTTTGTCATGGTTTGGTGACCATGTGTGGATTATAACTCTTTGAATAATGCTACTGTCCCTGACCATTATCCAATTCCATACCCCTATGTGTGGGAAAGCTACGTTCTCTTAGGTCGGTTTAGTTAGGGCCTGTCACCAGACACCAGTTGTCCGACAACACCTTTTGGGCTGTTCGAATTTCTGAGAATGCCTTTAGGCTTGAATGCTACGCAGTCATTCCAACGTTTTATAGATCAGGTTACACATGGTCTAGGTCTTGCCCTTGTATATACTATTGGTGTTCGGATGACCAGCACTTCTATGGAAGAACGTTTCGACCACTTAAGTGTCTTACTTCAGAGCTTCGAGCAATCTGGCGTCGTCAGTAATCCCAAGAAGTGGATTTTCGGCACTTATTCTATACAATTTTCGGGACATCTTGTAACAGCTGGCGGTATCTATCATTCTGGAGAAAGACATAAACTATTAGGAACTCCCCTGAAACAGATTCTCTGAAGGAACTTTGGCGTTTTCTCAGGATGTTCAATTTTTGTCGGCGTTTTAGCCTTTCAGATGCCTCTAATGAACAACCATTGACAGTCCTGCTTAAATGCAATCCAAAGAAGTTCCAGTGGTCCACGGGTGTGGCATGTATCTTTTGCAATGCCAGAGATGCTCTTTCTAATGTCGTCATGCTGTCCCAAACCGACCCAAAAGCGTATCTCACACTGTGCATATATGCTTTGCAAGTAGCAGTGGGAGCAACAACAGCAGATGACTACTCGCTTTCTTTTCTAAGGATTTAAAACCAACTCACACTCGTTATATCACTTTTGGCCAGGAACAATTAGCCATCTACCTAGCAGTGGAGCATTTTGGTTTGTTGTTACAACGCTGACATTTCGCCGTCTTTACAGGGCATAAACCACTTTGCTACGCCTTTACCACTTCTCTGGAAAAACACTCGCCAAGAAGAGCTTTGCCTAAAACATATCAAATTATATGTTCAGAGAAAAGAAGGAATTCAACCTTAAACCTTGAACCGCGCGCAAGGAACGAATCGTTCGCTCTCTCCGGCTGCTCGCCCAGCACATCTGCTGACCAACGCTGTTTCGCACTGGTTGACACATCCCCGTCAAGAACTTTGCTCCTATCTACTTTACTCTACGTGGAGACTTCCAACGGTTGACAGCGCTAAGTTGTAGTGGAGAATTTGTATAATCAAGAGAAGGACAATTACATTACTATAATTTCGTACGTCTACAATTTGTGTATTTTGTGACTGTTATAGTTTTCTTCAAATAACCTCAGTCCTTTTTGTGTATATTAACTTAAGTGAACTGAATATTTTATATATACTTATTTGTTAGTACTTGTTCTGTCCTTTTAATTGCGTTTATATACTTACCTAGCTACTAGGTCCACTACAAAAGTAGCTCAGTTATATTTCCCACTTTTCCACCTATATACAGTATATCAAAGCAGATGCAAACGTCGCAGCTAACTCTCTCTCTCAATTACAACCTACTGACGCCGAAATTCGCACTTGTGCAGAAAAGTATTCCTTCAATTGCAGAACTTACTTATTGTTCCCTCTTACTCAACCATCACTTAAGAAGTTTATACAGGCGTTCATCGCCCTTGTGTACCTCAAAGTAGCAAATAAACTTGTTTATTCTCGTTTCGTGTACATGATAGACACCAGTTTACAGGTATCAACAATTAGATAGATAATATACACATGGAGTAAGCATATTTAAAATTATTCCCTTACACAGAATATATTTATACAAAATAAGGTAATGGAATAATGTCGGTAAGCACACTTGGCATAAAAAATTATTTATTCCTATCTATATAGGACACACCAATTGTATAGGCATGGATAAGTATTATTTAAATTACATAAATTTGGTCTATGGCGAAATTACACGGTTGCTGTCTTTTCTTTCTTTGGTTGGTGGGAACAATGTGACAACCAGTCATTCAATGGAGCACATCAAGAAATATAGAGATATTGTTTTCGCATTAACAAAAAAACCCAAGTATGTTTTGGATGGATTGCAAATACTTGGGAAAAAATAAAGCTTTAAGTCATTTCCCCCATATAACTTTGATGTGTGCAGCAACGAATCTTATTCTTGATTTGTATCCAAATTGGGTATAAATTTAAAATAATCGATATATTTGTATAATTTTGACAGCATTTACATAGCATGTAACATCAGAAGTAAACTGCACCCGATAAGGACTAATACAGGACATTGTCAGGCAATTTTAGCATAATCAGTGCTGATAACTAGCTGCTTTCTTCAGGATCATTCTACATAATTTTATCACGAATTGTTCCACTACCCATTTAACTCTACTAAATAGACTGTAGCTTAGTTGCTGTAATAATAACTACTTCTTTACTTTGTAAATTTCTAAGGGAAGCTTAATTTCCTAGTCTTTTGTAATAACTACTTATACACATGTATGCATTTATGAAGATAATACTGCTAAAATGTCCTCCAATATCGATGTATCTGAAGACCAGATGGGGAGCATTTGTCATGAAGGCTATTGGCGTGTGTGACTGGGATGGGATCAATGCAGTGCAATGCTGCAACTGCAGTTGTTGCCAAAAAATCTCAGAGCTTAACATCAGAAAGGGAGGGAGGCTGGTGAGTGCTGATCAGCAGATATGGTAATGGTCACAAATGTGAACCGATCCAATCTGCATTTTTTGACAACTCAAGAATTAAACATGAGTCTAGGTCCTCAACAAAAACAATAAGGGTCGTACAGATCTAAATTTTCTTAATTCGTTTGCTCTTAACATCTACAAGCCTGTTCAGCTTCTAGTCAAGATGCTACCCAATGGGCCAGTAACGTTTGCAGATCATTTGCCATTGTGAGTGGTCAAATATCTACATTCTTCACTCTCATTCAAAAATTCATGTAGAAGCTAAAATGGTGAGAAAGAAAAGAACACAAATGACAGCAGCACAGAAGAAAGCAAGTGGATCCTCAATGAGTGATTAATAAATTTATATATATTATGGCCGTTCAGTAACAATGTTATTGCTCGACGTTAGTGAGGCCTTCAATAAATTCCCACATATCAGACTCCTAGCGGAACTTCAATCCTACGGAATAACTGGAAAACTTCTCAAATCGATAAATTTTTTTGGCACAAAAATAGGGCTATTAGTCAAAATCAACTACCAACTGTCTTCATCAAGGCCGATAACTAGTGGTGTAATACAGGGTAGCGTTCTTGGCCCTATTCTATTCCTCTTATTCATAAATGACATAGTCTATATAATCAAGTGTGGCAATCCATATCTCTTTACAGATGATCTCAAGATAAATTTTCAAGTATTGGTTTTGTAGGGATTTTGTTTGATTGCATGGAGGATTTCATCATGAGCTGACATCAGTTAGAATTCAAGGACCATTGGATCGAGTCCCAATGGCTCAATGGTCTACGAGCTCTCTGGCTTTGTAACCAGAAGATCCTAGTTTCGAACCTCGGTGGGTGCGTACTGCTGAAGCGTCCCAAACCAGGCTGACGAAGCAGCTGGCTGTCCAGTACTCCCAGGTTTTCCAGTGGTTCTCTGAATGATGTCAGCTCATGACGAAATCCTCCATGCGATCTCAAGATAGTATATGATTATGGGTGCGATGATATGAGCGTCGAAAGCAATATCCAACATGACTAAAACGATCCAGGCGATTGGAGCGAAAAGTGGCAACTGACTTTCAACCCAGACAAGTGCGGTATAGCCCATCTCGGAGGCTGGAAACAGAGAATGTGCCTATATGTGTACGGTAAGCTCCTCGCGAAAATGAGCACAGTCACAGATCTTCGTATAACATACTCAGATTTAACCTTTTCGGATCATTCAAATAAGGTTTTATCTGACTTTTAACGACTTATCGGCTTTGTGCTGCGTAACTTTTACACCCAAGAAGAAAGATTAGCTATACATAAGACATGTATCCGCCCCAAACTTGAATATTGTGCTCTCCTGTATAGTAACCTAAGGTCTGGAGACCGAAAAA